ACTTTAAACAGTTTGCGACAGAGCAAAGCAACATTACATGAGCTTCCTAACACCGAATCTCATGCTGAGGATGTCGCACTTTTGAATCATGACGATCGGCAGTTGCGCCTGCTCTGCTCAAGCACGAAAATGGCGGCGTTCGCAACACTGTCGGGGAAGAGAGTGCCGATACTCTAAGCACAGCTCATTTATTGGCTCTACTTTTCTCAAATCTCCTTTCCCCTGACTGAAACTGAAACTAAATATGAATAATACACTATAGCGGCGAGATGTTTTGGTGGCGCCCTCCTATGGTTCCCCCTTGTAACGTCATTACCTTGCGAACAACAAGTTCGATGGTGCTTGTAAATAGCATGGTGGAAGCCTGAAATCATTGCGCTATCAAAGCCACACTGCCAACACCGTCGAAATTAAAGTTCTTTCATTCCTCTTATTTCCGTCGATGGTATACCCTTTCCGACGTCATAGTCAGCTTTTGGGCCAATCGTGGAAGGCCGACCACAGCGATGCTTTCGGTCGCGCACGTCGCCAATAGCCAACTACACATAATGAGAGGAGAAATCAGCCGGGTAGGAAAAACGCGGGTTTCATGTGCAACCGTTCTTACCGTCTCAAAAGAAAGAACGCGCGAGCTTGCGCTGGTTTAAAAAAATACGATCCAAAGAAAAGAGGCGGCATGCTGTGTTCTTTGTGATTGTGCGTCTATTTGCAAATTGTTGTGGGTATGTTTATACAGCCGGGAGTTAGTCTGCCTTAGTGGGCGTCTGGTGTCTCAGCTGTAGATGAACAACTTGGCCAGTGCGGTACAACCGCAAACCTGAGGTCTTTAACGTGCACCACGCAGTAGTGATACACGACCGCACGCCGGTACGATGCTCTTCCAGATCAAAACGGACAGGGGCGGGATGGGTTCTGCAGTGAGAGCTTTCGCTCCACGTGCTCCGACTGGCGTGCGCTATACTCCGTTTCAGCTTAAGTTGTACCGCAGAGAAGGCTAGAAGCGCAAGCTCATAGCGTTGCTAGCTGCTCTTAGCATACGAGAGCTTGTGCCGCCGAGATGTGCCCTATACTTCATTTCAGCTTCGGTCCAGACGCAGCCAAAGCTACAAGCGCGAGCTCCGGGCTTTCAGCATCCCTGCCAAGCACGCGCGCTCGTGCAGTGCAAGCACTGTTTCGGGCCACATGCTCGCGCTTGTAGCATCGGCTGCGTCTGGACCGAAGCTGAAACGAAGTATAGAGCAAGGAGCTCGTGCTTGTACCTTTTACTGCGGTACATCATAAAGTGAAACAGAGTATAGAGCATGCACTCGGCCACCGATCCCCCCCCCCCCCCCCCCTTTGTGCGTCTAATTTATATACAGGTAGAAGTATTTTAAGATCGACGATGGGCGTCGATCGTCTCGAGGTAATGTAACGTAATAATATTATATAAACGATAAACATATTGAAGGACTGAACGACTCAATTTTTTAATTCTTGAATTGTAATAAAGTGGTAGCCTATTGTACTTACTGTTGATGAAGAGCAATGTGAGCTGACGAGGTAATGATTGAATGATGAGGCTCTATAAGGACGACGACATTAGCGGGTGTCGAACCACAACGTACATTGCCAGACTTGTTTCAAGTATCGTGTACCCAAAGACCTTTCTTCACACGCAATAGAATATGGTAGAATCAATGACGATGCTGCTTTACAACTGTATGTGAAACAGGAAAACTGCACTGTGCAGAAGTGCGGCTTATTCGTTAATATGAGAGACGAATTTCTAGCAGCACTCCTTGATTGACTGCTTGGAACAAATGGCTTCGCTGACGTAAAGTGTCCCCGTTCCAAAAGATTCTTGAAGCCTGCTGAAAACGCAAAGGAGTATGAGGCGAAAAATAAGAAAAATGAGCCTGGTGTGAAAGGTCCAAATCACCACTATAGCTTCTTACCAAATACAAGGGCAGTTACACAATACACAAAGAGAGTTTTGTGATTTCTTTATATTTACACTGAAGGGCATTGATATCCAACGTCTTCAGAGGGATGACACCTTCTGGTCAACCAACAAAGAGCCTTTTCTATACTCAAGTTTTACATGGAAGGCCCGACTTCCGCTGAAATTCCTTACGGAGACCAGTTGTCCGACCGAGTAAACTGCCTTTACTCCCGATGTGGGAATCTCTCGATCTTCGTTCGTAGGCCATAGTATAGATAGATAGATGGGGTTTATCATGAGATCGAGGGGTGTGGCTCTTCGTCCGCCGAACATTGCTTCGGCGGGTGTTTTTACCGTGTAAGATGAGACCGTCGCGTGTTGCTGGAACAAGAACCTGGCGATTCTTCACTGAACTGCTTCTTCCGTAAGCTTCAAGAGGGCTTTCTTCGTTTCGCACACCATCTGTTCTGCTTGCCCGTCAGTTTGAGGATGGTATGGTGCACCTGATGCCGGTTTTCTTCTTTTTTTCCTCAAAAACTTGTTTATTTTATTTAAAGCAAGATTTGGCGCGTTATCAGAGAAAAGTATTATTGGTAGGGCAAAAGTAGGAAAAACAGAGCGTAGAACGTCAATGACGCGTTCCAACCACTTAGAGTACGCATCGACAATGACTCCGCAGACGCGGATACGTTTCGCCACCCACCGACTGAATAATGGATCGCTTTCAATTACTGTTTATGATGGTGCTGGACTCGAGGAAGACTTCGAGTCTTTCCACAAAGTTAGTCCAGGTGCCAGCACTTTTGTCGAAAGCGGTAAGTGTTCGAAAAGTCGACAACGTCGGTAGCCACGTGTTGTGCTTGATACTGGACGCTTACCATTTGCTGAGAAGAAACTTGCTTGTTCGTCTGCCACGAGTCGTCCGATATCAGGTCATCACCGCTACTCCATCTCCCGACAAAACAGGTCTTCATTGTCCGCATGTCCATAGTTAGCAATCACGGGAACTTATAAATTCCAGAACGCTCATAACTTGCCGTCGCTAAACGCCGTTCATTCATAGCCTCTTCATTGCAAATAAACGTCATCCTATTTATTCTGATGGTTTTCATCATATTCCTCCTATGCTGTACTTACAACATTATGTGTGTCGGTACTTCCGAAAATATTGGAATGGCGTTTGTTTTCTGGGAACCTCCCCTATAATGTAACAACCTTTACAACATCTTCCGGATCCCGTGAAACACAATATTTTGTGACGTCACTTCTCAGTCGTCATTATAATGGTGAGGTAAATACCGTAAATCGCGAAGCAGTTTACTTGACGTCCGCTTCCACTGGTATTTTGGAAGATTGAGTCTACTGAGCGTGCATTCCTGCAGAAGAAATTTTCAATTATATAATATTGATACGTCAATCAACAAGTGATTCCTTCTTGGTAAGATTTATTACGAAAACCCGTGACCACCGCCGAACCGCATTTATACCCAGCCTGACATTCTCGCATACAGGAGTTTGCTAGGCCACGCTACTTGAGCCAGCTGAGCACAGTTGGCACAGCTGGCAGCGGCGCGAGCAAGGCCACGAGGGGAACGTGATGTGCTCGAGCCATCCCACCGTGAACCAGTGTTTCGGCCACCCCACGGGTGCGTGTCGCCATCTATTGGTTGAACTAACGCTTTGTTCAAGATGGCTGCCGTGGGACCGCAGCCTTAAGCGTCTACCTTTCTTGCGGTTTCCACATCTCTTGGGGTACGGGCAAGCCAGCGGGAATGGAGAGAGTAACTAAATATCAGTGAGTCATATTTTAACCGGACGGCGCGGAAACCTCCTCCACCTACGGGGGGACCCGCTGTGCCGAAAACGCGCGATATCTGACGACAATGTGACGTTTTTGGTCCCGGCCTTACTACTGGTCAGGGCGGCTAAAAGCTTTTTTTAGTCGAAATACAAAATATAAGTGGCGCGAACCGTTTCAATTATTTAAGAAAGTTGTTTTTGTTGAGTATTCTAGATCAGAAAAAAAAAAGAAGCAGTTTATAAAGTACGGAAACAAGAAATGACCCGTCGACATACCCGCCACCAAGCGGTGGAAAAGGTGGCGCATTCCAGAAAGGGGTAGTGAGATCAGGCATTGACGAGCGACGAAAGTAGAAAGGTCCCAGATGTACGCGGCAGCGCTGCTGCCGTATGGGCTCGAGGATCCGAGCGGCTCCGAGCATTCCGTAACCAAACCGTAAGCCAAACCTGCTCGCCTTCGGCGAGCAGGTTTGGCTTACAGTTTGGCTGTTTGGCGGTATGGCAGCGCGAAGTGGCTCCCGATCTCTTTACCCCGGGTTTACTGCCGTTTGTGGCTAACGAAGTGTTATGCCGAATTAGTGTTTAATCGAGCCGCCCTGGCCTCTCGCTTCCTCCAGCTATCCAGTACATGCTTAGTGGCGCTCTCTCGAGCCGTCGACACGGAGTGCGGCAGCCGTGAGCGCTCGCTGAGCTCACTACCCCTCCTCTATACTCTGTTTCATACTTAGCGTGCAACGTTGTCAAAACTACTGGCGCGAGCGTGGGGCTTGATCCCGTTGATAATTTGCACAAATTCTCGCGCAAACAAAACCATAGATGAAGCCACGCGCTCGCGCCAGTAGCTTTGACAGCGTTGCACGCTAATTATGAAACAGAGTATAGTTTACGGCCACTCAAGCCAGGACCAAGGACGTCATGAAGGAGGGTATTTTTTTGCTTGTTTTGTAATTTTAATTTGCCTATAACATTTAAAATAAATCAAAATTCGTGAAAAGTTCCACTAAGTTACTACGTTCACTGCGCTCGGGTTCGGTGCAAATTAAAAACCAGTCAAAAAGTCGTTGCAGGGCCCCTTTAGGGTAAAACGAAGTATAGTTCTACGCAGGCACTGCAAAGAACGACCTCGAATGCGGTGTCCAGTGAATACCCTCCATAAGGAAGTAGAAGGAAGAGAAATCTCACGTATTAGTCAACACGAGTGGTATGCTTCTCTTAGAACAAGATTTCCTTGGCTCCAAGCGCGTCTGAGAGAATAAAAAATAAAGACACGTGCGCGACAAATTAAGACCGGTTTATTGTGCTTGTAACAAACTCGTAAGCCCTCCGAAAGGACAAGCCCAGTTTTGAGGATAAACTGCCAAACAGAAACGAAGAACGCAAAAGACACTGTTAGCTCCGCAAGGAAATATTTTTAATAGTTGACGATGTGCAAGTACACCGAACAAAACAAAACAAATTATGAAATAACAACCGACGCCGCTTTGAGATTCCCGCTGTACATATCACAAATCCAGTATGTCTTCACAAAACAAATGAAGCGGCGTCTGAGAGATCTTTGGACCGCAGTCAATCCACGGATGCGTCCCATGAGCAGAGTTAAAGCTGAGTTAACCGAAACTGATTAAATATTCAGGAAACGTGTGCGTGTCTTCTTTCTGGAACAGGTCGCATTGTGGGGAGGCACAGCACAGGTGATCATAATTTCCTTCCATGTATAGATAGAAGGTTGAGGGGAGGCAAGGGAAGATCGTTGTGGTATAGTAGAACCGTGGACAGTGTGATTTTGTTTTGCATGTATACGACCATGAGGGCTCTCAGGCAAGTTACAAGACACCAGAAGGTCAAGCGATGATCGGAATGGGAGCTGGGAGTTCAGAAGTGCCCCGCTTGTCTCAGTTTCGGGTGCCCGAGTGAAGGCTACCGAGAGCTACGCTTAGTAGCGCCCGCCACGACGAGCAGCGCCGCCGAAGCCGGGCAGGTTGCCGAATCCCGGCAGGTTGCCGAAGCCGGGCAGATTTCCGAAGCCGGACCTGCCAGCGAGGAAGTCATCGTCCAGTCCGGCGCTGAAGTCGGTCGGGTTGGGCATGGGTCCGAAGTTGAAAGACGGAGGGGGTCCCTTCAGCTTGCTGTCCTTGGCATCGATGAAGCGGCGTTTTCCGTCCCTCCCGACCTCGTAGTGGCGGTCGATGTTGGTGCCGGCGCTGTCCACGTAGCCCATGCGGCCGGTGATGATGCCGTCGTCGTTGTTCTCCTGGTTGAAATGACTGTGGCCCCAGGAGCTGCTCTCCATGTGCGTGGTCGAGCCGTCCGGGTTCTTGATGGTACGGCGCTCCACGATCTGAGCGGTGGCGACCGCAACCAGTGCGGCGAGGGCAAGGAGCTGCAACGACAGGGCATCGTTAGTCAGACTATTCTGAGCGAGGAAGTGCCAATCGCATCAATACTTATCGTCATACAAGATAGAGTACAAGACAACGTTTCTCCCAGACCTCGACGAATACAGGGAAAAGCATCAATGCCATTCCTTGTAACTCATGTAATCGACACGTGTGCGTGCCCGATGCTGGCTACACTTTAAATTCATAGCGCGGTACTTAGCTGCTGCGAGTTTCAATATCAGCGAGGAAATGAATGAATGAAGTGACGCTGCTTCAGAAAATTGATTCAAAGTAGGTTAGTACGGGCGGCAAGATCATGATAAACAACGTCTTAGGTAGAACGCAAAAAAAGAAAACAAAAAAAAAGAAAAAAAAAGAAGAAAAACAACCGCATCTCCACGTGGTGAATGATGTTGGTTGGGGCGAAGCTCTGGTGGTGCTTGCCTGCGCAGGCGCTGAGCCGCAGCATGCCGAGCCTTTCGTTCGTTTTCATCCGTGTCACGCTGCGGTCAAACGCTCAAATGCGTATATAACCACGTTCCATACCACACATTCTCTTTCTGACATGGATGAAAACGAACGAAAGGCTCGGCATGCTGCGGCTCACCGTCTACGCAGACAAGCACCACCACAGCTTCGCCCCAATCAACATCATTCACCACGTGGAGATGCGGTTTTTTTTTTTGCCCTGCACGAGCATAGGAGCAGTGCTCACGTGCTCGTGAGCACGTGAGCGCGTGAGCTCACGAGCAGGAGCACGTGCACCCGACGGCGGACGGACATACGGACATGGCTAGCCCCTAAGGAGCTTCGCGCCTAAAACTTTGCTATATTTTAAGATCACAATGAAATAACAGAATCTTCATAACTAAAAAAAAAGTTAACTTCTGTAATCACAATTTGGGCTAAATTAGGAGAATATGTTAAATGCGCCATGATGCTAATACAAACTACACAATCCCTGATGGTTAAATATGGCAACATCATCAATTCCATCTTGTATTATCCTGTATCGAAATCGTAAGAAGCTAAAAATAACTTTATATTTTCCAATCAGAAACATTAACTAGTCGAAAGCGGGCAACACCAAAACATTGCGCAAGGAAGACTACCCCACAGCACAGAGAACGCCTTAGATTAATTCTGGGAGGTACAACCTAAAACGCTTACGCACGAATGAAAATAAAAAGAAAATACAGCTTGCAATGCAGAGGTGAACATAGATGGTCAGATAGAATAATTTGATAAAGCTCAACGTCGTCTATTTTTTTCTTCGTATTTGTGACGCCGCGTAATTGACGTCTACAGCTGCGCAGTAATTTGGGAAAGACACGAGTATTGGCAAACAGAGTCGCTTGCTGTTCTGGGTGTCCGTTCGTAAAGAGATTACTCAGTCGAGCGGAATGGTAAGCAGGAAAAACTAAGAGCGGCAGGATAACTTTGGCAGCAGACAGGTACACGTGGCAACACAAAGGCCCCGAAGTGACGCCAGAGAGAACCAAAGGAAGCAACAGAAATGTGACGCAGGCCGGATCCAATTATCGCGCAAGGGGCGGCGGTTACGAAATCGCTGCCGCGTTGCGGGCGCTTCCTCGAAGCTCTATCTCCTTCGCCCACCACCTTTCTCATCAATTCGTAATGGAACGGAGTAACCCGAGTCCCAACCCGAGCGGGAAAGGGGCCCGGAAGGGGCCACGGTCAGACGTGCGGAGAGAGGACGAAGCAGCTATTAAAAAATAGGTTGGAGGTAGGATTCGGGTTCTGTCTGTTTTCTTCTACCACGACAAAAGAGTCAACCAAGGACGGCGGTTTCCGGCGGCGTAGCAGCTCAAGAATAGTGAAACGCGACTCCAATCGCACTCGCTTCCTCACCAAAAGTAGCGGACTCCGGTGCGTCAACACCCGGCGTGCTTAAAAAAAGAAACAGCAGAAACTTCCTGACATAACGGAGCAAAACCATTAGGATAGTTACTTTGAATCGCGAACAATTTGCGCGAGGAGACGATTACCGAAACGGTGAAACGGCCAGAGTCGTAATCGAGGGGAAACACATCGGGTTGCAAACTGCCTCGCAAACGGGAAGTCCGCCGTATTTTCTAGGAAGTTGGAAGGTTACGGACGTTGAAAGGCGCCCTTGTGTTTCTGCGCATTCGAAGCCAATACGACTAGAGGGGGCTGGTGGAAGGCGTTGCACTGCAGGCGCGGGTGAGCAGAGTCCTTGACAGGGCCGCGTACAGTCTTTCAAGGAAATGTTCGGTTTATGTTCCGTTTATCAAAGCATGCAATGCGCGTATAGAATGATTCGTCTTCCCCTCCCTGCCTCTGGAAGGAATCCCGATGCTCTCGAGATAGTTCGTCGAGACTTCATAAGTTGAGAAAACTACCTAGAGGACAACCATAGTGAGAAAGCAAAATCTTCGTCCGAAAGGAAATGATAACCCCTTAGTGTTGTTTATTTCCAGGCCCCATCTCCAATTTTTTGCTATAGAGCCGTAAGATCGTTATATGTTTTGAGAGTGTGCACAATGTTTTTTCTCACCGAATCGCATACGGTTAATCAGAGAACAAATACATGGGCTGAGAGAGATAACAGTATAGTTGGATGTTGGCATGTAATGCTTTTCCTAGGTTGTCAGGGGCCTTATCAAGAAAATATCTTGGTACAGAGCAATGAGGGAAGACGACGGCCGGTTCAAAACACGGTGTGGTCGCAATCAAACGAGGCGCGTGAATTCTACAGGTGCGACTGCCGTGTTCTGTTCCCACACAGAACCTCGGAAAGCAGGAATACTTTACATTAAAAAAAAACAAAAAAACAACAACCTAACATTATAGAGATAGGTTAAGCGTTCGAAAGATCCCTCTGGTTCTCTCTCTCTCTCAATACTCTTATTCTGAAATTGGAATATAATTCCGATGGCTCAATGCAAAGCACGAAATCACAAAGCTCCAGTATAAGATATTCGTGCACCGTACCCTTTCACAAAATATAAATAAAAATAGATTAAAAGAAAACATCTGGGTGATAAGCGATACCATACGTCCGGGCTCTTGTTGTACAGCCTGTAGCTTCGCAGATCAGTTTCACGGTTGTAGCCACTTTACCCAATATATTTCTCACGCGAATGTGCCAAAACCTAACAGCGATGATCTTCCGTAAATCTCGAACTCGCTACCATAATAATTTTATAGAGAAAGAAATCACAGGGAACAATCAGGGGAGCTGTTTATAGAGAATATTGAGTACATAGGCGTTGGACCTCTGGCGTTCTAACTGAACAATTTATCACTGCCTCCGTAAAAAGTATGACTTAAAAAAAGATGGAAAAAAGAAAAAAAAAGAAAGACAGATAACAAGAGCCAGGTTGTCGGCCTTATTGGACCGACTATCTAGCCAGCGACATAATTTCCAGGAAACAACGAGGTACATGGCACATCACCGACGACCAGACATCCTGAGAGGATGTTCAAAACAGGACATCCTCGATGAGACGACGGAACGAAGCTGAATCGAAAGCGATCTTATCTTGGTAGGACTCCACGTCTGTCTGTATCCTGCCTGATCACCAGTGAAGCAAAATTCTGGAGTAATATAAAAGCTATTCGTAGAAAGGATTGAAAAAAAAAAATCGTTCGATTCCTTGCGTCCCCATTTATGCTGCAATGGCCTCGTTGAAAACAACCGGAGCATACGTTTCAAGGTTTGCTAGTGAAGCAGGAAAGATCCTCGAAATGAACGAGGTTCAAAACTCGGGAGTTTTTTTTACGACACCTCGATCGGGAACGGTACTCAAGAAAACGACATGCATTAATAAAATAATCATAACAAACAAAAACGTCCGAAATCATGAGAACACGACCCTTTTCAGAAAAAAAAAAAAAGAGAAAATACCAGAGCGAGTGAGGACAGTTGTACAAAACGACTTGGCAGATTAAAGGGACATCGACATGTCATCAAGACGAAAAAAGAAGCAGCATCTTCCTCTTGCAATTTTCGTGCCGTAACGTACAGCACTAGACGAGAGGCGTTTAGCCAATAGTCGGACAAGCAGCCCTCTGGTGACTGCCGGAGCTCGTCGTCGGCGCGCTTTCACGTGTGTCTTCCCATTGCCTAAGCAATGCGATTGACTTTGGGGCGCTGTTGCGCCGCGGCGCCTCTGTGGAACATGGGCTTTTTATAGCGCAGTCGTAATGTCCGAGTGCAATGTCCAATTTCTAGATGAGGAGCACGAGCGGGGTTTTAACAACCAGTAGGGATGATAGATTAATACGGAACGAGCATTTCAGAGGGATTACAACAGCCACTGCGCCACTGAAAAGGAGATATTTCTTTGTCATAGAACGCGATGCTCGAAGAGTGCATTTGTACTGCGGGTAGCACGTATGCACCTGTAAAAAAAAAATATCAAGGGCAAATAAATGCTAACACATTTATTTCCACTTGGCGAAGAACCACTTAGAAGTTAAAGAAACACTGAAAGGCGTCTTGGCCAACCAGGAAGTAAATGCAACGCCAAATCTACCAGACTGCTCGTAACCTTGGGGCAGTTCGACTTATCTTTCGAGTAGGTTGTATGGCAGGGTGTCTTTAGCCCCGACCATCTTGCTTCCTTCTTACTCGAATCCCTCTTAAAGGTTCCAAGCGAGATATGCCTTTATCAGGACCCTTCGAACACCGATGTCTGCGGCCTCGCGGGCGGTGGCATACAATGCAACAGACCTCATTTCTGCGAACTTCCTTCCCAGATAAACGGAGCACCAAGGAAATTTCCCCAGAGTGCGGCTAGAGGAATTGCAGCGGCCGAGCTTGGAGCGCGCATCGCTAATATATAATAAGCGAAAAGCCCCCTAAAGCATTATATTATCCCGACATCGGTACTAAACAAATCTGACTCACTAATTATAAAAAAAACTTGTATACGGGTACTGGATACTCTACAAATTTATCGATATGTCTAACTTCGAGATACCACGCTGGAGCGAACAGGTCCCATCGTAGGAACTCTCAGTAAGTTAAAGATAACAGACGTTTAACAAATTATTGTAAACGACTGATAGGAATTTCCCGATTATTCGTTTACTGTAATTTTCATTACCAAATAGGTTCCTACAAAGCGGATTATTGACAGCTTGTAGAACATTCGTGGAATACGGTCAGGTGACGCTACTCTCAAATCAGTACAATGAAACCATGTGGTGGGCGCGTCTGCTGATAAGAAAGTTACCGAATTCACTTTTGGAAGGTTATTATTACAGGTACTAAGCCCGAGCTGAAGCGGCCTTGAAAACACCGACATACAGGCATTCTAATGAAGTCACTTAGGCGGCCACGACCAGCGCAGAGGAAAAAAAAACAACAAAAACAGCAACAGCAGTGAGACGTTTAATAACTACTTAGCGCGAATACGTGGGTAGTGATACTGCTACACGACCTTGAGACGTAGCATCCTTTGCCACACGGGGCGAATTTTACGGCAAGACAGGTCTCACTTGCCCCACAACGAGCCTGGAACCCCGACTAGTCTGTGCCACGCCACGCACATAAGTGCCCCTACCACTCGTAAACAAATTTAAACAAAGACAAGAAAGCTTCCACGGCACGTCTGGGAGCCATTAGACGAGCCAAGCAAATCCAGACGACTCACTGACTGTTCGGCAAACCTGCTGTTCCGGTCCGGATCTCCTGAGCGAGCGCGAATTCGGCCGACGACCCTGGGCGAGAGTTTTGCCCCTCTGCGCGTCGCGCTGGGGTTTTTTCCCGAGCAATTTGCCACGCACCGGTGGCCGCCTTTTCGGTGGGCCTGCCCAAGGTCACAGTGCCTCAGAGACACCAACTCAGGGAGCCTCCGTGAACACAATCGACCGGGAAAGCCCGAACGCTACGTCCGCTGCGTCTCTTGTTTGTTATTGTTATGGGGTTCGGATATCCGTTAACTTATAAACTTTTTATAAGTTTTATAAAACTTATAAAAAAAGCAATTTCAACTGAAGAGCAGCATTAGAAAGGGTGCGTGGGGGATACTTTTTTATAATTTCAGTAATCTCAGTTGGTGGCCACGGTGATTTCCATTCTTAAAGCTGTTGCTCATTATGTCACTGACCCTAATGTCATTTAGCCGGTTGGTCCGACGTGTGCACGGTGGCACAAGGCCGCCACAACGCAAGCTATTTGTTATTATATACCTTTCCTTCTGACTTAACGGGACATAAAAGGGGGAGGGGAGAGGCAAGCTTTGCAGGGAGCCGCGAGCCGCAATCGAGCCCGCGAAGAGCCGCTCGCATGCGGCTCGCAAGCCGCGGTGTGGCCACCTTTGTCATAGACTATAATATAGTTGAACTAGGAGGAGGGAACTGACATAGAGTGAAACTCGCCTAAGTAAAGCACGAACAATTACGTATATGGAAATGCTTTGATCTAGTTATATATTTTTTGTTACTCTGGGTAGCGTTGACGACCGTACTCCGTAACGCTAGCATATAAAATAGTTACAATTGAAATCTCAACGATGCTGCAACTGTCTGAGCTAGAGAGTCCAGCTTTGAATGAGCCGGCAATCTCTTACACTTTAAAAAAAAGCCCGTGCGTCTGCTCTCCCGCAAAACACTCGGAGAGCCAATCACCGCAGCTTACGTAGGTGGTTCAGCGAATGACGACGCTGAAATATATGCTTAGACCAACAAACGCAGTCCGAGTTGTGACATGAAGCAATGCGAAACGTCACGCTTGCATTACTTAATGTCACAACTCAGACTGCGTTTTTTGGTCTAAACATGTGTTTCGGCATCGTCATTCGCTGAGCTACCTCCTTAAGCGGCGCTGATTGGCTCTCCAAGTGTTTTGCGGGAAAGTAGACGCACGGGCACTTTTTTTAGAGTATAGGCGTACTCAAATATAGGTAATCAGTAATGTCCTGGAAGAGGGTGCCGCCAATTTAGCCGAGCGTATAATAGTCGCTGTCTCGTGGAAATGTAAAGAAAAAAAAGCAGACGTGACCGCTACGGTTAATGAAGATATCGCGCTGCACGGCGCGGTAACTCTGTAGGGTGCCCGTGCGAATATACACAAGAATAGGATTATAATTAGAAAATAGGTATCATGATAATAATGCCTGTACGGTGCCGCATTTGTGGTTATTCGCCAAATTGAAGCCATGTGAAATGGTCTGCAATGACCATTTCACGACGCTTTTAATCTATGAAGCTTTTAAAAGCGCCTTAAATTGTCTCAACATCAACCAATGCTTGTTATGTTTTCCCACGTGTTATGTTTTGTTTCAATTTACATGTAACCACTTTCCCCTGAGAGTAAAATACGTCCTGAGGGTAAATAAAATAGCTAAATATAGTCATGAACAATTTTTTTTCTACTCTCAACACAACCAGCAATATTCGTTTGCTGATCTGTTTTCTTTTATCAACATGTTTTCGTTTTGGATTTGCATTTCTATTCCTCTAATGCAAGATTTTTTTTCCGGTGTGTGTGTTTTTAATTCTTTTTTTATTCACTTTGTTGTTATTATTTTGTCCTGATTGATGCTTACACTGAATGTACCCCCCCCCCCCCCCCTTTCATGTAATGCCCTTAATTGGGCCTTTAAGGTACCGTGAATAAATAATGGCTTTACTGTGCATGGAGCCCTAAAATTATAGGAAATTAGCAGGGATGTGACACCAATAGAGGCCAAACAGTAATGATACTTAACACCCTAAAACAAGGGTGAAAAAAAGGAGAACTCAAATACAAACTTCGTGATTCTACAGTAGTTCTTTTTTTTTTAAATTTTGCATGTGTTAGGTGGTAGGTACTGTTTTTCAACCAGCTTTCGCACGTTTCCTCACTGCTTGGAGAAAAAGAAAATACTCTCTATTATCGTATGGTCCCTAGAAACGGATTTTGTGCGGAGCGTCGAAGAGCCCGTAGTTAGAGAGCGTGTTCATAACGCGCTCATTACACTACGCGATCTCAAATTGTGTAGGGGCTATACGGAGTCCCATTACGAGTTCCTAAATAAGGAGATCGTGAAATTCGAGTTTTCTTTGCTTGCACTACTTAATTTTTGGCAAGCGCAAGACAAGCATTTGGCTACACAATTCTGCGATCTGGAGCAAGCGATCTGAACTAATGACCGGGGAACAGGGTTTATCACATCATCAAACAAGAAAGTTCTCTACGAAGAGAGTTGAAAAGCAGAATGTATCTGCTTAACAAAATGTTATTGATTTTTGTTTTTCTTCCCTTTAACACAAATGAGCACGGCTATCGATGATTACGAGAATTTTAATGTGATCATTTAATGAGGAGCTCGAGAAACTTCTGCAATGAATGTGGTGCTTTTTGCCCCCTCCAAAATTTCAACGCTGAGGGAGCATGAATGTTATTAAAAAAATGTGAGTCTAGTAACAGATATGCAAAGGGATTTTCCAGTTGAGATGGCGTTTCATGAACAAAGTACTATGAAAATGCAAACAAACTCTACGAAACGGAATTTCGAGCCTTAGCAGAAACATAACGCAAAAACAAAACGCCCGTGTACGTTGCGGTGTGTGTAATATGTACATTCTTATAACCGTCAAACTGCTCTATTTTGTTTTGTAGTGCGAAGTGAGACACTTGCGTTCACTGGTGTACACTAATTAGTTGAATAATTTTTTCGCGAGTGAGCAAGACATTTTGCAACCAAGGAACACGTCACTGGCATTTCACATCCGAGGTTAAGAGTGAAACCCCAAGGACCAGTTCCTTAATGCAGTCGTGTCAGAGAGTGGGGAATACACGAACGGGGGCTATAGGCGAGTAATACTTTTTTTTTTAATTGCTATGTTCTCGGTGGGCGACGTCTCGCAGAAATCAAGGTAAACAATACATAGACCAGAGACGCATTTTCGGGACTTGTAACACGAATAACCATTATTTCCAAGTAATGGAAATAATGGTTATACCGAGACGATGTTAAGAACCAGAAAAGTTTTGTAACCGTTCAATCTTTAGAAGCAGGAATTCCAAATATTCAAAACTCGTTCCGAGGCCTGTCACAACAAACTGTACTATTAAAAAAAAAATATCTACATTTAGAAAGGAAATAAGAACTGAGAAGGCGTTGCGGGGAGAACGTTGACAAGAACGGCTCATGTGTAAGTTTAAGCCTACATCCTTTTGGGACACAGCTAGCAGAAAAATAACAAGCACAGGGCACACGGAATGTAAACTGTATTCAAGCTAAAAAAAGTACGGTTCAGTAAAGTGCGAGCCTGGAGTCGAAGAACAAACACACACGTTGTCGTAATTGTTATTCAGCTCCCGACCCGGACTATGTGCTCTTTTTTTTTTTTTTTTTTTTTACGCTGCCAGCAAACTTTGACAGACACGCCCCGCGCAAGCAGTCATCCAGGGAAATTGCTTGACGCGACAGCGTTTACCAAACAAGCCGCGTGTTCACACAGGCGAAACGCCAGGCAAGCGGCCCGCTCAGAAATGTCGCCAAGCGTCAAGCAGTCCCCCATTGCGACAACACCGCGTGAACGAGATGTACAGAATCTTGAGAAGTACTCACCAGCTTCATGTTGCTGGGATTGTAGTAGAGCGTCGCTCGCCGGTGGACAAAGGAGTCGCCTTTTCGAATGCACAGGCAGGGAGAAAGCTGTGCGTGTCTGTGTCGAACTTGAAAAACTTGGGACAGCGTTCAAGGTCCTAGACTGCGTCGTTTTATACCGGTTACCGATGCCTCACGAGACGGAAGGAGAAAGGGCACAAAGGGGCTCTGGCGAGAAGGAGCTCGAGAGAGGGGCGAGGGGTTTTCCCGATCCCTCTCCGCTTCGCGGCTTCCCTGGAAGAGAAAGCACCCGCGCACTTGGCCTCGTCAGCGCGTTCAGGGGTGCGGCGGGAGAGGATAGCTCGGTCTGCGTTGAGCTGGCCGCCACGCAATAATGCCAAAGCAAACGAACAAAGAAATAACATACACCGCTTAAAGTGGGCAGGTGCACGTGACGCGATGCGCCGCAGAGAGGATGTCTTTCTTTGTCTTTTGCGTTCCGTCGTATAAGCTTGCAAGAAGCTTAAAGCTGTTTCTGGCACGCGTCTCTTTTGATGTCTGTGTATGTTGCGTGTTTCGATGACTTCAGCTTGTTTCTCCTCTCAGTGTGTCGCTCGAAAGGGGAAAATCGAGGTGCAGGCACGAGGGAGTGAGTGAGCATGTCAGAGTAGGATCGGAGAGGCTGAACCCAAAATGGACGTTGAGACGAGACAGAGAGAAAGGGCATTTGAGACGAGGCGTCAGAACGAGGGTGACACGGGACGCGTCGTTTCTCGGGTCACGATTCGGTTGAAATCGAGTTACCTATGCGCAACGTCAAGCTGGAAATGCGGGGAGCACCGGCTCACGGATTTCCCCTCGGCGCTGCCCCCATCCGTCACAGGACGGCCAGTCGGTTCCCCGTCCACTGCCATGTGGGGAAGACAACACGTCACTGTACGACTCAGTTTGTTCTTCGTGTCTATTAGGGGGAAAAAGAAATTTAAAAAAAATGGTCATTTCCAGGGAAAAATAAAAAGGTGCGCGACGGGATCGTGTTCTTTGGTGGTTATAATGGACGTTTTTGAGCTCAAAAAGTTTCGTTGACTTGTATCGTGTCCACTCATGCGGCGCGTTCAAGCTTGCTTGCGGAGAAAATAGAAATGTGGTAATTAGGGACCCTGCTGCGAGGACGATGTTTGATTTTTTGAATTACGTCAGATCAGACGCTAAGACAGACCATCGCGCGGCTTTCGTGTTCAACGTCAGAGAACTTAAAGAGAAAAAAAAAATCGCCTGTCGCCTGACGAAATATTCGAGAGTAATTTCTTTTGAGTTCCACGTTTCATGTTTGAGACGGCGATAGGCCTCGTGAAATGGGAGTCTCTTTGTTTTTGTGTTATACAGAGGTGAAGTTTCTGCCGTGGTTTCTAAAAAGCAAAACTCCGATACCGGAAGCGTATCAGAGAGGGCAAGCAATTGGCAGGGTGTTTGTGGCCATTTGCATCCACTAGTTATATCTTTTAGGATGAAGGGCTCGCTTACCTTGCACGGACCGTTTATTTTTTTTATATGTTTAACTTTTTCACCTGCTAGCAATGTTTTCTTTCTTTTTTTTTTGTCATACCTAAGTATGATGGCAGCTCTCTATGACGATGCACCAATGCTTCCTGACACGAGAAACGTTCGGTATATACTATAGATTCGTTACGCGGTTTGCCTCCGGTCCTCATTCTTCATGAAGTCAAATTTGGGGGTTTTACTGCCAAATCAACCAAGAACATCTGGAGGAGGACCGATGGTTAATTTCGCCCTCCCGGGGATCTTTTGACGTGTAACCGAAATCTCGGCCTTTTCAGCATGAAGTCCCCATCAAAGTGCGCGCCGGGACTCAAAGCCGCCGAATCTCGCCGGCGTTCTGCCCCGGAGCCGCTTCCATTCTTTATGGCGGTTTTCATTCGTGGTTAGAGAGTCATTTAGACCAAGTAAATAATTTATACCCTTATTTGCACCTCGATAAAGTATCTCTGGCCCGGCTAATATGATAGGCGGTTGGATTCTTCGTCTACAATTTTTAAAGCAAGTTGTCCAATTGTAGTGGGTATCAGCGATGAATTGATTCAGTACGTTGAATTTTGATTTTATATAAACTTTGTTCACTAAATAGTAATACAAATTTCTTTTAGATATTGTGATTATGTTGGTTGGTATTGAAAGCAGAAAACAGAAGTACGTCAAAAATCACTTTTCTAGATATCAGTGTGTCGAACCGAAAAAAATACGGGTTCGGTTACGGTTCAGGTTCAGGTAAATTTATTTTGTTCCGGTTCAGTTCCGGTTCGACTAATTCGATCCGCGAACCGGTTCGGGGCGCTGAACCGGTTCGCGAACCGGTTCGGAAATTATAAATGACAAATTGCAACATCAAAATAAATTACAAATAAAACATCTGAAATCAGCACATACGAAACGGGATACATCGTAGTGTAAGGCTCAGGGATTTCTACCAGGAATGGTTTCTTTATGTGCACTCAAAGGTTACCTCACCGACGTTTACGCATTCGGACTTCATCGAATTGGGTCCGACGCAGTAGCTGTAAAATCCGCGACCTCCTTACAAACCCACTTACAAGTAGAACTCGCTAACTATCCCGCCACCTCGGCGTGTAAGCAATTGAAAGAACAGTGGGGAGAAAATACAGCTTTCTTTATTTGAACTAGCCTTCGGTAACTCAAATTAGACCCTTAATTAAACAAGATACGGAATATAAAAAAACACTTCACCGAACGCAACGCCAGAAAGACGTAATAGGATAAATATTAAAATAGAAGAGTTCGCTGTCTCACAAATATGTTAGCTTCTAAGTGCCTATACGAAACCGGATGCATTATTATCAAACTCCACAGCCTTTTCTTTTCTCATTCCGATGGAAGCAAGCTTCAAGAACTCGCGCGTTCTAGAAACGTGTTATGAAATGAGCACACAGCAGCATTTAGGATTTACGAGATTGTAGAAAAATAAAATCCCGTGACGCGATCTTTTTTTTTTTTTTTGCACAGCCTTCCAATTCTCTTTCTTCCGTGCAAGCCGCGACCAGCGCAATACTGGTTCCTATGTCAAGATTCATGGATGCAGCGTTTGTCAAGATTCATGGATGCAGCGTTTATATTCCTAAGACTGAGAGGGGAAGAAAAATATGTAAGCGAGGTGTGTGTCAGTTGACGGCACTTAAAAAACAAATGGCATTGATAGCACATTCATTGTCAACAGCGCGTAACCGAACCGTTTTGACATGAGCCGGTAACCGTTATTTTTTTTCCGGTACAGTTCCGGTTCGGGTTCATCGCGATAGCAATATAACGGTTCGGGTTCGGGTTCAGTTCCGAAAAAAATACCGGTTCGGTTCCGGTTTTCGGTTCGGTTCGGTTCCGGTTCGACACCCTACTAGATATATGTCTAAAACCTTTTTCAAGTTTCATCGTTTCGAAATACTGAAACTAAAGCAGCACGAGGATGGGCTAACCGAGATGCCGAAGTCGTAGCCAACGCTACGAGCTGATGGGACCAATCAGACAGCATCAAAAGCGCAACATCATGGTGTTCGTTATGTTTCTGTACGTCTCCTATCATCACTGAACTAATCATAAACAGAAAAGGACTAGTGATTTGCGCTTGTTTATTTATTTATTTATTGTACATACCTTCAAGCACCGAAGCATTATCGAAGGAAAGGGTAAAACAAGAAACAAAATTTAAAAAAAAATCATAACAGAAAAAGATGCGGCGAGAAATACAAACATCAAGAATACGCTCTGATTGGCAAACGCTGAAAGCAACATCTGCTACTGCTACGAACAGAATAAACAAAAGCAAATGACTCACGTCGGCTCATCGAACAGAAAAGTAAACAGAGCTTGGCGAACAAGAAAATAATCGGGTGTAGTTGCGATATCTGCTGGAAGGTGGTTCCAGTCGTTTGATGTATGCGGGATAAATGAATAAAAAAAAAAGGTGTTCGCTTGGCAGCGTGGTAATCCAACTTTATTCTTATGGTCCACACGAGAAGAGTAATAGTTACTGTTAGACAACGTAAAGAAATTGTCTCGTAACGGCTGATGATCATGCACTTTATGAAACTGGCGAAGTCGAAAAACATTTTTACGCCAATGACGCACAACAAAGTGGACTTCATTGATGATATGAAGGCTGCTCGATTATATTTAGACAGAATGAAAGGAACGGCGTAATTTTGAACTATAGTTCGAGAGCTTTATGTAAAATGGCGTGGCTAGTATCTTCAATAGATGCTGCGTATTGTAATTTTGACCGTACACGAATGTTATAAATAGAAGTTTAAAGCTTACTGGGGCCGTTCTGAAGTTCCGTCGTACACTCTGAAAAAATCCCGTACGTCTGCTTTCCCGCACAACGCCCAGAGAGCAAATCACAATAACTTACGGAAGCATCTCAGCGAATGACGATGCCGAAATATGTTTTGACCAAAAACGCAGTCTGTGTTGTGACATTAAGCAATGCAAAACGTTACCCTTGCATTGCTTAATGTCGCACCTCAGATTGAGTTTTTTGGTCTAAACATATGTTTAGGCATCGTCATTCGCTGAGCTGCCTCCGTAAGTTGTGGTGATTGGCTCTCCGAGTGTTGTGCGGGAAAGCAGATGCACGGGATTTTTTTTTTAGAGTGTAGCTCCTAACATGCGGTTAGCGTTGGCGATTATAATTAAGATAGGAGGTTTCCAGGTTAAAGTTGATAATATCATTATTTTATTATTATTATTATTATTATTATTATTATTATTATTATTATTATTATTATTATTATTATTATTATTATTATTATTAATATTAGCATTATTGAAAGAGTGCATTCGAGACGCCTCATGTTGAAAAGCGCGAACTTAGAGAAAGCAAACCTTTTGTCGTTCCGCGTGTATATACTAAGGATGGTAAAAGACTGCGCTCCATTTATGTCCCTGAGCTCTTTAACAACATGTCAGATTCGTTTTTTGAAATAACTTCCAAGCGTCAGTTAAAAAAGCTTTACGAACGTTATGCGAGAGTTATATGTACCCAACTTTGGATTATTTAACTAACTTCTATATGTTTACTCTTCATCTCTTGTTTTTTATACGTCGACAGCGCTGAAAATTATCTGCATTGCTTGGTATTCGTTTGTTGGGTTTTCGCCGCTATTTTTCTGCTAAGTTTGGATTTGTAGTTTCATGCACT